ACTTGCATGTGGGGTGGTAAGAAAGGGGCCTCTTGATCAGGTTAAGTTGGGTGGTACATGCCCCCTCAAAGATAGATCCCACTCCTTCCTCTTCCTGGTACTGTTTTCTTCCTCCACCACCAAACCTGAACTTCTGGATGGAAGCATTTGAAAATGTACAGTATATACAACTGATCGGATGAAGCTGTGTAATACACTTGTTCTAGCTGTACTGGATTTAGGGCTGGAATAGAGCACTCGGAACCTTGCAAAACAAATCATATCATCGATGCTATTAGTAGCCTAAGAATTCTAAAGAGAACGTACATTTGAAGCTTCTCTATTCCTAATATTTGGCTTTGCTTTTCTACTTGATCCTATGCACTGAAGGTGAAATTAAATAAGAACACACCCTTTAAGGTTACATTATTCAGCCACGTGGACAGACATTGAGAAGATGACATTAGAATCCCTGTATTTATGTTAATATATTTAGTCTCTCCCTTTGTCTGAAGTCTTCCTCCTGCTCTCCAGACCCCTACAAGTTCCATGTGCAAACATCCTGGCTATTTGGGAAATGAAAGCTCAGAACTCACACGTCAGTGGTCTTAGTAGTCTTCTCAAAGCTTCCAGGCAGTGTAACTGATCAATCAAAGCATCTCACTGTTCTAGAGAGATTAAGAACTAAGGTGGCAATATCAGCCTGTGTGAGAAAAACACTTTTTCAGGTGTAAAGAGAGAGACATCTACCGAGAGAGTTATCTAGTAAATCAGCAAAAGATCACGAATGTCATACACTGTCTGGGCATTAGACCTGCACCTGTATGCTGGGCCCCGTCCTCGTCACAGAATCCACCTAAGTTCTAACTCTTAGTCTTTCACATGGACTGATCCTTAATCCCTATTTTCTGGATGATTTATCTTCCTTTTTAAAAATATATCTAGGAAACAATTTTCACATCACATCCAGAAACACACTCTGGACACGTGTTCAGCTACAGACACTCATCTGTTCCTCATTATCCGGGAGAGCTGGCCTGATGCTGGTGTGTGGATAGAGCTACGGGGCCTGCAAGAAGACAGAATTGAATTCTGCTCTGCAGGCAGCCCAGGCAGGTGGGGTTGCACCCCAGAGGGGTCATGAAGCTCACGGGGGTGTTCGGAGCTTGGAGAGAGTTTAGAGAGCTGCCATCGAAAGAAATCAGTGTTTGAGACATAATCCTAAAGGGCGGGTTGGAAGGAGTTGGGCTTGTTCACCTGGATAACAGCTTCTCAGTACCCTGAGGGGACCAGCCCGGCTGAGGCCTGTCCTGGGGGCGGGCAGAGGCTGCTCTCACAACACTTAAGGCAACCAGAATAAGAGATAAAGGCGAGTTTTAGATTTCTAAAGAGATTTGGGTCTGTCAGACTGGGAAATGTAAGTCCAAAGGAAATTACAGATGGCCTTTTCAACCCGCTCTCCCAAATTAAGGATAACCAGTGTAGAATGATAAGCAAGCCTTGGGGAGCAAATGAAGGGCTTTCAGTTCAACACTAGGTCACTTTTAGCTCTGTGGTTCCTTGATTGGACATGGGGAGCTGTTATTTAAAAAGGTAAAGTGTTTGTGCGTGAGTGTGAAAGTGAGCTAGTATGCATGTGTGTGTGTGTGTGTGTGTGTGTGTGTGTGAGAGTTGTGTATATGAGTGTCCACAAAAGTGAGCTAGTATGCATGTGTGTGTGTGTGTGTGTGTGTGTAAGTGAGAGTTGTGTATATGAGTGTCCATAAGTGTATTGTGAGTGTGTGTATGTGGGGGTGTGTGTGCACATGTCAGATGATGTGGCTCTCATCTCCTTCCTTCCCAGAAAAGCCAATGCAAACAATTCCTGGAAACATTTCTCCCGGAGAGCTAGCACTTTTAGACATACACCCTGGCTGCTCTATTCTTGAAGGAAAGCTTGGCTTTCATAAGGCTGAATGCATTAGCTGCCAGTCCCTCACCTGCTGCAGGGAGACCATAGATGGTACCACCCCCAATGGGATGGGAGTCACTGTAGAGGTAGGCTTTTCTCAGCCAGAGATAGTGGAATCATGGGACCATCACCTGCTATCTATAAAAGCACACACACCTCTTTCTTTACTACAGAAGAAAAAAAAGGAGAAAGTGACATGCTTCAAGTTCAATACATGACTTCTATACAGTGTTGTTTCTATAACCAAGAAAAGCAAATAGCTTTCTTGCATCAGTCCCAGAAATTCAGTCTAATTTCCAAAGACCTGCATTATAACAATACCCAAAATAGGCAGCTGCACTGCAGTAAAATTCCAAGGAAATGTCACTTTCCCCTAATTGCCTGTGTCTCTGTTATTTATTCAGACGTGAAGGAATAGAGAGAAAAATCTGCTTCCATCTCTCTGAGTTTCAGAGAGTGCTGCAGGTTGTGGAGCAATCTCCGATTGCGTTAGAACTTGCACTTCTTTCCTGAGCTGCTCATTTTCTCTTACAGATTATGAAGTTCTGGTCAGATGAGATTATAGATTTCTACAAATTTTGTGTCTGCTGTAGTGACCAGAAGCCAGAACAGATTGCAAAGGCCAGCAAACGTTACCTTCACCTTTGTTTATACACAAATGGCAATGGCCTGACACTATGAATTCCAGCACCCCGACCCCCTGCCCTCCCCCACCCTTGGTCAGTCAGTAACAACTGTTTCGAGGTTCTTTGGGGAGGGCAGTGATTATTGGCCTGGGCGCCTGGGGTGAGCGTCAGCCGCCTTTGGCCACCTGTGCACCTCTGCTGGAGCATGTCAGGCACTTCTGCTATTCCTCCCGCAAAGCTTCTTAGCAAGCTCCAGCCATGACATGGAGAGAGAGTGAAAAACTTGAACTGAAAGGAGACAAGAGGTGAACAATCTGAAAGGAAACATAGTCCCTTCTCTGTAATCAGTCATAATGTGGCCAAATGGCTCTGCTTCCCTAAAGCCCGATGCTTCATTAGTTAGCACCACTGGAATTATTTAGGGATCAGCGATGGCTTTTGCTTTCAACAGTTTTTCAATAATTAACTAGTAATAAGTCTATTAACCTGATAGTAAGCATCCTGAGTTTTAGTATTTACTGGGAATCCTGGCATTGGAAAAACTGCAGGCCCTCCCGCCTTTCAGTTGCCATGGGGGTGGTCCGGGGTTGCCGCCTGGCCTGCCGCTCCGGCCCTCCTCCCTCCAATTGCCATGGTGATCAGGGCCGCAGGCCAGCTGGCAACCCCAGTTTTCCCATGGCGATCACCCGCTCGGGGTGGGGGGGGAGCTGGCAACCCCAGTTTTCCCATGGCGATCACCTGCTGGCGGGGGGGAGGCAGCCGTTGCCCACCCCCCAACTCTTGCCTGCCGCCTGGGCTGCCAATCACCATTCTTCAGTCCTTCCCCTTTCGCCTCTCATCATTGCGAGTATGCAAATTAACCGCCATCTTTGTTGGTGGTTACCGCCATCTTGGCTGTCAGTTAATTTGAATATCACGCTGATTAGCCAATGGGAAGGGTAGCGGTCATACGCCAATTACCATGTTTCTGTTTTATTAGATAGGATAGATTGTCTTATTGTTTCTACTTCTTTTATACCCAACAAATGTTTGAGCCAGAAACATTTAGTTATGAAGACATTTAACATTTTAAATTAAGATGCAAGGAATTGTACATGACACGTGAGATGCCCCTGAGAGAAGCTTCTTGTGTCTGTGTTGGTAGATGTCTCATATATTCATAAACCAAATCCTGTGCACATTTAAACCAGACCAAATTACTAAAAAGCTCCATTTCTCCCATTAGAAAAAAAATGCAAATATTTTGCTTATGTTTTAAAAATAGCTTCACATTTTAAATAATTGATGAATATGCAATTTGATCCTCATTGATGGACAGTTCCCATAGAGGTATCCTCCCTAGTTTTATAATTTACTATTTCAGGAGAGTTTTATGAATGCGAAGATAAAATCTGGGGAGCAGAGAGATACCACTCAGGGTGACAATATCCTATTTAGGACCAATAACAACTAAAGGCCAAAAAATTAAGTCAACTTATTTGAATTCCTATGATGTGAGTTACAGATAGCAACATGTAGTAATTTTTCCCCATAATAAATTCCCCATATACAATGATGTACCCAAATGAATATCAGAGCAACATATTGTATTGTGAAGGATTAAATGATATTTCAGCTCATGTCTTTATTTTTTGTCTCTTTTCCTCAGGTGATAATAGAGATCTCATTTACCATGCATGAATACTTATATCCCTTTCTGAGAACATTTCTGATATTATTGGTATAAGAGAAAAATGTCATTTATTTAAAGATTGCCTTATTAATCTATAGGTTTTGGTAAATACCTAGAATATCTGGTCAGTCAATTTGTCTTTATGGCCTAAGAAAGAAGACTAGCTGCCATGTTCAGTCCAAATCAGTTGGTATATGAATATTCATAAAGACATCAATAGTCACAGTGTCTTACAATCATGCTCCAAGCTAAATAAAAATAAAAGCAAAATGGCCACAAATATTACAGTATAATAGGCTAAGTGCTAAAAGATATGTACAAATTCATTAACAACATCTGTGAAAGTGTCATAGACAAAACATTTAAAAGGAAATCTACATAAAACAAAGTAGATAAATTTATCAAATGTTGATAAATTTCCAGAGACAGTATAAAAGTACACAAAATATGGAAGAGAGAAAGAATTTTTTAAAAGAACCACTAAGCCAATACAGATAGTACAGGTTTACTACATTTATGTTACAGAACGATGGAAACCAGAGACACAAACGATTTGGTAACAGCAAAGGGAGTTTCACCCATCGCAGGGAAGAGAGACTCTTGTTCGGATGAGAACACAGACCGCCACACTCCTCCCCCCGGACCCATACACACAGAGAAAAAGAAAAGCAATGCAAACGTCGTCTACAGCAACACAGGACAGACAGAGGTGGAAGCGTTTGGCATGTTGCATCACAGGAAGTCAATCACGATTGGCTAACGATGATGGTACCTGGCTCTGTTGCAGGTCACTGGCTTGCCTGAGAGGAGTAACTGACGGAGGAGGCACACCTGATGTGGACGCAGACCGGCCTAGTTTGCAGCTTACTTTCGGTTCTGAGGACAAAGGGGAAAGAAAGATCAACTGTTAGTGGAGCAGTGTGGGCAGTGATGACCGTGCTCCCAGACGCCCATTTTGTGTTGCTAAGGATTCTTTCAATGCACCAAATACTTCCTTCCGATGTTTGCTAATCACTGGCAGGTGACCAGTGTCCTAACAGTTGACTCTAAAACAGAGGCTTGATTTGAAGTTGAGCTCCTGAGCGTGAAGAGAAAATCACGAAGTGAAGCCCAAGGCCTCATTCCCTTGCACATTTTACCCCAATTATAGTTAGTTTATATGGAGTGATTACTGGAGCAACAATACCTCATTAGGGGAAAAAGCGAGCGGCATGACGATTTTTGGTACTTTATTTTCGCTTTGGTCCATAGGGCTCCTAGCTCCTAAAACCCCCTTTCACCCTCTCCAAAATTTATCCTCCCTTTTTCCCCTCCTTTCTTCCTGCTCTTTCATTGTTTCTTTGTCTTTCTGATCTTGAAGTCTATATCATTGTGCTTGTGTTGACTACTTCCATCATGTCTTCAATGTAACATTTCTCTCACTTATCTCAATTTGTTTTACATTTTATAACCATCTTCTAAGACTTTTGCACTCTTTCATAATAATAGCATTTTTTAAAATTAAAAGCATTGCCCTAAGTCTTCCTCTATTTAAGAAGCACAAATGAGCTGCCTAGACAATTGAGAGGAGACTTTGAAGATTAGAATTTGGAGATGGAAAGAGCTCTCTTTACCCAAGAAATAGAGTTTATAGTAAACAGAGACTGTTGAGTTTCAGATCTACCAGAGGATATTTGATAGAGGAGAAGAAAAGAGGGCATAAAAAATTGACATCTCTGCTTTCATTACAAACTTTTATATTAACTGTCAGTTTGGAGTGCCTGGTATAGTCCAGCTTCTGTTTGAACTACACTTAAATTGTCGTTAATCCCACAGACACTCTTTGGAATTACAGAGTTAGCTATAAATGCTCCCAATTTATAAATTAGAAACCTGAGTGTTTTCTCTGTTGGTCAGTGGACTTATAACTCTCACTAAGGTGGGGAGGAGATCTAATGTGGAGAGACCCCACGTTAGAGGCTATTGGCTTACAGTCTGGGAAAGGGCTAAGGCTGGATCCCTCATTAGGTAGTCAACCACTCATTCTTCAAACCACAAGCATTTCTTGAGCCCCTCTGGGAAACAGGACCCCTTGTCTACAGAAGAAATGAGTGCAGAAACAGCTGTGATAGGGAGGCAGCGGAAGGAACTTCAAGCTCTAGTTTTTAATGAGAATCATCATTTTCTGGGGGTGGGGGGGGAGAATAAAGGACCTATCGCTTTAAGGAAGACAATTGACAATATTTGTTGACAATGATACATTTGAGCTTTTAAGGAAAATTAAAATTTCGAAAAACTTGCACCCACCATTGTGTGTTTGACAACAACCTAACACTTAAAAGATGTTTCTTATGAGATCAGTGGTGATATTAATGTGTGCTGTATTGATTTTTATAACAGAATGTGTCAACATATGGAAGAGTTGCATGAGTTAGTGAACCAATATTTTCTAAAAGCATGATGTTATAAATCATGTATGGGTAAATGTCCATTTAAAGTTCAAGATAGACTGACAGATTCTATGTAACAGAACAGGATGAGTTTATTGATGTGTAACTAACTTCTATGAAGCTGATATTTGTTCACTTTTAGAAGAGTATTAAAGAACACCTACAATTATATGATATGCCTATTAAAATATTTCTTCCTTTTCAACTATATATATGTATGAGGCCAGATTTCCTTCATATATTTAAATAAAAGCAACATAGCACAACAGATTGAATCCAAAGCAGATATGAGAATCTATGTTCCATGGAATTAGACATTAGATGTACAAAAATGTAAAAACAATGTCAATCTGCTCACCATTTCTTATAGTTTTGAAAAATATAGTTTTATGAAAGGTGTTATTTATGTTAATATATACTGGTTTTATTTTTAATGAATAATTTTTTCATTCTCAAGTTTAATATGATAAATATTAAGGAAAGCTTTTTTGCATTCTCAATACTTTTTAAGAACATAAGGGATCCCAAGACTGAAGAGTTTGTGGACTGTTTATGTGTACTGTCTCTGAGTCCCCAATAGTTCTCTTTTAAGAGGTGTAACATTTGATACAGTTAAGTTTCCAATGGAGTGTTTTGTTTTGTTTTAATTTGAAACAGGGAAATACTATGTTAAAAACTCCAAGGAATTTGGGAACCGCCAGTTGGGAAATTTTCTCCTAGAAAAACCTCTATGGCAATGTCCGAAAAAAGCTATTACCTGCCTAAGACCTGAGGGAAGCCAAGAAAATTCTCAAGGAACTTTTTCAACATTTATAATAAAAAGCAAGCTTCAAGGTTCATTCATTGATCCTTTTTAAAATATATTTTTATTGATTTCAGAGAAGAAGGGAGAAGGAAAGAGAGAGAAACATCAATGATAAGAGAATCATTCATCAGCTGCCTTCTGCTTACCCCCTACTGGAGATCGAGCCCACAACCTGGGCATATGCCCTGACCAGGAATCAAACTGGTGACCTCTTGGTTCCTGAGTTGACGCTCAACCACTGAGCCACACCTGACTGGGCTATTGATTTTTTTTGATGTCTGACTGCTGGATAAGGCCCACTCTCTGCTGGCCTAAGCCATCAGTTGAACATTATCTGAGGGCTCCCAGAGTGCGAGAGGGTGTAGGCTGGGTTGAGGGACACCCCCCCCCCCAGTGCACGAATTTCATGCACTGGGCCTCTAGATAATCATAAGATTACTGCTTTACTCTTCCTTTCTGGTCTGCTTTTTATATTTTAATTTTGTAACAATGTCAATAAGATCTTGCATAGCTCAAGTTTGCTGTTTGCTAAAATTTTCTAAAATTGTCAGCAAAGTTTTGGTTGTAAATGTTTTAAAAATAAAACAAAAATTTATTTAAAAATAAAGTTCAGGAAGAATAATGGCCATCTTTCATTTTTGCCTTTCCAGAATCCATTTACCCTTTTTCTGGAATAGCAGTTGAATTTCCTTTGGAGAACAATACCACTAGTATTCTTAGCTCTTATGGTTCCACATTAGGAGCTGCCCCCAACACTAGCTCCAGAAGTGGCCCTGTGACTGAGATTTGTGCAATCATTCCATCTCCTTGGCCTCACTGATTGGTTCAGGAGTGGACATGTGACCTAAGTCAGTCAATGAAAACTGCCTTCATACTTTTTCTGGAGCTTTTCATGAGAGCTACTAAACTCATATCTTATCAGCTGAATGACAATGGATTAATTGCTGGATCTCTTTAAGGTTCAGTTTGCTCACAGATAAAATGGGAGACGTAATGGTTACCTACTTCATGAAATTATTGTAAAAATTAAATAAGACAATAAGTGTAAAGATGTTACCTCATGTAAAAAGTGACCACCATGTAATAAGGTCTCAAGAAATGTTTGCTGTTTTTATTATTTAAAGGCCCCTTTGATCTTTCAGCTCCTCTGCTTATAATATAATGGAGTCTACACTGCTTTCTCTCAGCTGACACAGGCAACCTCATCGACAGTCTCGCCCCTGCCACACAGCATCCTTCCCTCCCCTCCTCTACTAAACTGTGTGTTCTGTGAGGACAGGCATCCTGACTATCTCGTTCCTTCCCATGAGTGACATGATAACTGATACCTGAGGACTGGAAGTATTTATTGAATGAATTATTTTAAGCTGTAGTTTAAAGACAAAAGCCATTCTAAAAGAAGATAAATTATTTGTACATTTATTAGTAATATAAAGACATTTTCCTCATTTCTTCACCTTTCCCATGTTTCCAATAAAAAGACAAAAATACATTCACCAGTCTTCAATTGAATTTAACAACAAAATCAGAGAGGGGAAATTGCAGTGCCTGTTATGGACAGTAGATGGCAGTGAAAATATTAATTGATATGTAGTCTGGTCATCCCACAGAGCTTCCCAGAACTAGTCTCTGTAACAGGCCAGCATAAGTCAGAAAAAACCTCCTTTTTTTGTAATGTCTTCAATGGCTTTTCACAGAAAAAGAAAGGGCATTCTTTGTGACTATAAGGCCTTTCCAAAGAAAGCCAACTTCTGCCAACTGGGAGCAATGTCAGGGTGAACTCCTCTGAGAGAGGGCAGAGGGTGGGGCCATGTTCCTTGCAGTGGAGGACTGGGGGAGCTGGCAGAACAGTCAAAACTCATGCCAACGTGTTGTCATGTTTTCAAACAGGACTGAGATTGAGAGCCTAGTAAGGTGAAGGCACCTTCTGCAGTATCTAAATTTGTATGCTTAGTTAATTATTTTTCCCCAGTAGAATCAGAGAAGAGTTGAAAATTCAGAATTTCTCTAATACGAATGAAATTACTGTCAAGTTGTATTTTCTTCCAGTAGTTTTCAGGGTATCTGTGCAATATACAATGTCATGATTTAGGCATATG